TAGGGTTCCCCTTTTTTCTTCACCAATTCTTTCCTTTATATGTACAGAATGGTCAGACTTTCTCTTTTTCTCAATTTTACTCCAATTTTACTCTGTGTTATGTTCAATGAGAGACATTAATAAAGAAAAGTTTATTTTTAACTAGTCTGTGCCAGCTTCAGCAAGTGAGGAAGGGAGAGAGTCTAAACATTCTGTACATATAAAGGAAGAATTTGGGGAATTAAGAAACTGTTGGGATTTTTTTAGATTTATTTAAATTTGTTGGGGATTTATTTTAAGAGTTTATTTAAATTTGGGGATTTTTTAAAGTTTATTTAAAAACATTTATTTAAATAACAGAGTTGCCGTCTTTATTAAAAACAATTTGAGGATAAGTGGATTGGAAAAATTATAATTGTTTATGTCAATTAAGTTAGTAAACTTTATTTTTTCCCAATTAGGAATTTAATTTTCGTGAAAATAAAATTTTAGAAAATTTTATTTTGTGGCGGCAACTCTGTGTATTTTTAACATTCTATTCGAGATAAACAAGAAACGTCCAATTTTTGGATGGATTATATTTAAATTCGATTTAATTTTGAGATAAAAATGTTTTATTTTGTTTAAACGATCATTAAAAATTCTTTTTAACCTTACTTAAGAGATCTGACTAATGTTTCTTGGAAATGGTCTCTCTTGATCCACTCGCGGATCCATGCCGGGTTTGATTACCTTTTAGGCATAATTCTGTGAAAAAAACGACAAAATATGTAAAAATATGCGCAAAAAGTCTCTCTCTAGACTTTTAGGTCCAAGCTAAAAACACGTTTTTTGAACCTATCATACAGTTGCATGTAAATCCGGGCCTAAGCTATCTTTAACCCTACTTAAGATATTTGCCTAATATCAAAAAGTTTAGCCTAATATTGCTGATAATCTTTTTAGGGTTTGATTAGACCTTTGAAAAAGCTCTACCGACTAACAATAAGTTTATTGAGCAACGGCTTTGCTCTTGTTTTACTTTCCTACTATACCTTAAATACTCTAATTGAAGACCTGGGCTTATATTTTTCAATGGGTCTCCTCAGATGGGCTTACATTACAGGTGGGCTTATACAAAATGAGGGCTTCAATTAGTGTAATCCTCTGCTTAGGTGGTGTCAGATAAAGTTTTATATTTAAAAATTTTTTTTATAATTTCTAAATTTTAAGCAACTAAATTAAATTTTAAACTACTAAAATCAATATATAAATTTTTGCCTTCATGTGCCTGCCCTCGCCCTCTCCCTCGCGCTCCATCCCTTCCTTTGCGTCTTGCGACAGAAAATAACATTCAAATGAAGGAAGGCAAAATCGCGCGCGATTCTTCTCTCCTCTTCTTCTCTCCTCTATGTACGATCTTTCTGTAGACATCAGTCTCTTCTTAGCGATTCCCCCTCAATATTTTCATTTGTCAACTCTCTTAGTCAATTAAATTTTTTTTAATTTTAATAAATTTAAAATATATGAATTTATTTATAAATTTTACCCGGATTGTGTTTTGAGTTTTTGGTAGAAAATTGTCAGGGTTTAGGTATTGTATGACCCAAACCATCCTTGGTCCAGTAGGTTACTTGGTGGAGACTTTTAGACGGGGCTTTTGAGGATAATTTACATTAAGTTAAGCATAAGGTCAATTATAAAGATAAAGTAATTAATTCCGTATAGAAGATTGTAATAATTATCAATAGAAGGATATAAGGTTTGCAAAAAATTATAGCGATTAAGTAAGGCTCTGGAAAAACTAAGAAATTTCACTGGAAACATTATTAGTTGCAATATTTTTTCCAAAATTTGACCAATTTCGGATTTTCTTTGCTATAAAATGGGCCCCATTTTATGGGGGGAAAGGGGGGGGGTAAGCAGGACTGCACGCAATTGCGGATTGCGAGTTGCAGATTGAGTAAATTGTGCGGGTTTTTGCAATTGCGTGTTGCGGATTGCGGCTTGCGGATTTTTGAAAAAGAAATTGCGAGTTGCGGATTGCGGGTTGCGGAATTTTTTCCGATTGCGTGCAGCCCTGGGGGTAAGCCCAAACCCACCCCGACTGAATTTTCTAAAAATATCTTTCCAAATTGTACATATCAAGTAAAGCTTTACCGCCTCGATTGTCAACATGCCCGATAGGCTATATTTCTTTACAATAAGTTACAAAACATATCCCAAACTTCCTTAATTATTTCGTTAATTTTTGTTATGTCCAAATTTATTTTTAATTAATCTATCCCTTTCCGATTTAAATTTATAAGTAATCACCAGACATTAAAAAATTAATTTAATTTAGAAAATGTATTATTATAAAATAATATTTTACATTTTCTTTTTATTAATTTTTATCAACTTTTCAACTTCTCGACGGCAAAAACGAAGTGGAAAAGTAAACAAAAGAGATTATAATCGTTATGGAGAAGGATCTGGAAGCTTTAATCAACGCCCAGGAAAGCAGCATGTAGTGAATGATGAAGAGGAGAGGAAAAAAGCTTTGTATATTTGTGATAGCTTCTTCGAATCTCCTTTTGAATTTCATGTAATTTTAATTTTATTTAAATTTTAGAAGGTTATCTAAAGCAGCAGGGCGTTGGGCGTTCCTTTCGAGAGGAACGCCCAACAAAAACGTCAATTTTTCAAATTTTTAAAACACGCAAAACGCCAAAAATCGGCCAAAAATGGCAGTCAAACGCCATGACGCTCAGCCCTGTAAGGCAGTTAGGAATGAAATTAGTAATCCTCAAAATAGTTAAACATTTTTAAATGGCCGGCCAGGTGTTTTCCCAGACTGGTAAATAAAGCCAAGGATGCGTGAAATGGTTTAACCTTTCATCGGATAACTCTCAAAATCAAGTTCATCCATTTTCCCAAATAATTTTAAATTCTGCCGTTTATTATAGCTTTTAATAACTTAAGAAATTTCAAGTTAGGGAACTATGTAGCCCTTCTTAATCTTATTTTCCTTTCTTTTAATCTAGACAAGCCTTTAAAAATCTCTCTCTTTGAAAAGAAAAATTGTCTAAAAGAGAGGAAATAAAATTATTTATATCATCATCTAATGCAATTTTTATTTTTGATTAGCCAAAAAGTTTTGAAATAATTTCTTCATTATTAAGATTTTATTTATTTTATAATTTTAATTTTAAACAAAATTAAAAAAAAATTTTTCAGAAATTATTGGCAAGAATATTATCAGAAAAATATATTGTGGCAAGTTTTTTTATTATTTCATTTTATTTATTTTTTATTAAAAATTATTTTACTGTCGAGAATGAGTAACTGAATAATTGCTAAAAAGTAGAGTAGTAGAGAGAAAAATTATCACCGGGCCGAACCCCGCACCGAAAAAGTTTTTTGCTTTTTTCTTCAATAGAAATGACATGCCCGAACCCTGACATGCCCGAACCTGAGTCTATAGATAAGGACAGGAATAAACATCTTTTGGGTTTAAGCTAAATCAGTCGATTGTTAAGTTGAACATGGATCTAATTGAATTTTTTCTTTCTTTGTTTTTGATATTTAATTGAAAAATACTCCCAGACCTTTTGATTTAATTGAAATTTTATTTAATTGAAAAATATATTTAATTTTTAATTAATAATCAACCAGATTTACGGTTTCGGAAATTCTTTTCAGAAATTTTAAATTTCAGAAAAATATATTTCCTTTAAGGATATGCTTGTTTATGGTAGAGAATCTGGACATTCTATTGAATCAGAAAGTTTTGAAATTATTTATATGCCAATAGATCAAAGCAAATTAAATGAGAATACTATTCAAGAAAACGGAATTGAAGAGGCATATTCAGAATATCGAAATTCAAACGAATTTTATTTTGCTGGGGGTTACGGAGGTATTAATTTGGGTTTTTATCAAAATTGGATTTTCGATAAGACTGCCGTAGTGGTCAAACATGAGAAGCAGGAACGATGCCTGGAGGCAGTTAGCGAAGATTAGTCTAGTCTCTGTATAGATAAGCATGTAGCCGCCCCAAGTTGAGTAGCAATCGCGACTAGTTTTGATTGTAAATCCCGAATCAGCAAGGTATTGAATTACCAGCTACTAAAAAGTATATAAATCGTTAACACTCTACCTACGCGTGTAAGTAAATGTATGTATATACCGTATATGCTCGAATAATTCCCCTATTTTTTCTACACAAATTTTAAAAATATTGGATACTTTCAATTTTAATCATTTAAACATTTAAAGAATTTTAATAAAAAACAAATCAATTCCTTCCCTGATTTATTGAGAGATACCCCAAATTTAGTTTTTCCTCTCGAGTAATTACCCCTTCCAGTGAGAGGTCGAAATAATAATTACCCAGGATAATCATTTGAGTATATTCGGTAGCCTTTGTGGATGATTTAATTATGTGCCAAGGAATCCTTTCAATACATACCTTCTTTGTAATTAAAAATAATCAAATTATCTTTCATTTAAAGAAATATTTACAAACAAAAATATTTTTGATTGGCTTAAAGCACAAATTAAAAAACAGGAATATTCTTTTGGAATTGCCGAGTTTAATATGTTTGCTGCTCCTTTTGCCATTTTTGATGTTTTAAAAATTAAAAATACTTTTGATGTTTCTTCTTCTATATTTTATCCAAAATATCTTCAATTTCTTGATATTGAAGGAGATCCAATAGATGTTACTCAATTTCAAGTTCCGGGTCAGTATTTTCAATAAATATGCCCACTTGCAGTGTATGAGTCTGGGTATGCTGAGATGGGCGGGGTATCTCACGATGGCTAATTTCGAGTTTGCCTAACAATAAGTGTTACATCTGTTTCCCTCAAGACCAGGAGATTGAAAAGAAAATTAAAGACTTTTACAATTAGCACGTAGAGTTCCTCGTAGATTCCCTCGTAGAGTTTTCACTCAGGCTGAAGCTAAAAAGTAATTACTCAGGGTAATTAATCCACCTAACGTCTCCGAACAGTCTCTTAATTTATATAAAATGTTACAAAAGTTTAGCAAAAGTTTAGTCACCGGGCAGGATTCGAACCAGCGAACAACCAGCTTTCGCTCACCACATGCAGGAGCTCTACCACTTGGCTACCGGGGGCTTTAATTGAATCATCCTTACATTAATATTCCTTATCATTTAAAGAACTCAATACCTCAAAACCAGGAGATTGGAAAAAAGATGCAGAAATTTGGCAAAAAAATAGTGAGAGATATAATTTAAACATGAGAAATCATTTAGAAAAAAACATTCAAACTCAATTACAATTATTTAATAGCAATTCTTTTTTTATTAATTTTGCTGGAAAACAACCTCTAGTAATGTACCAATTATTTAAAAATATTAAATTACATTTTGTTAATCAACACCCTCTTGGAATATTCAAACAATTTCCGGAACATGAAAAAATTTTTTATATTGGAGGTATTCATGTTGAGGATAAAGACATCTTCACACAAATGGAAAAAAATGTAGACAATGAAGAGGTAAAATAAATTACACATTTAGAGGTCCCAAAAAGCTCGTTCCTTTTAAAAGAATTAAATAAACGTTTTAATAAAGCTTTAATTATTTTTGGATTTAATAAATATATAAATGTGTTTAATTGCATGAGTCCGGTGAAGGGAATTAACCAGGGGCTTGATCAACCCCTAGGTTCCTATTAGGAAATCCCGGGCATATTTCCTCCCTGTTCCATTATTCTGGGGTTTGGGCCCACCGCATTGGAAATAATAGGGGTTCCCACCTCTATTCAATTTTTATTAGTAGGTTTGAGCGGGATCGGGATAAGAATTTTGGAATAATGATCCGATCTGAAGATTTAAGGTCGCTAAGAGCTCGTTCTCATGTTACTTCGGTCGTAAGAAGTTAAGTAATTATTCCTTCGTTAATTACAAGGAAATTCGTAATAAATTTGTGTACAGAATGCAGAATCTGCTGACAAATGATATACGGCAATGGGGCATGGGAGGCACTTTCTATTGGCCACCATACCCCCTCCCCTCCCTCTTATTGTTACTCTTTTTCCCCGTAAAAACATTAATTTTTCATTAATTTAAATAAGAAAAATTTTAAGCCCTCATGTATTGTTCTCGTTACATTTGGCACAGTTAAACCTTCTGGAGAATTAACTAAAGAGGATGTTGATGCAATGTTTAAACAATTTCAAATTCAATTAGGAAGGAATGAGGATTGTGTATTCAAAGTTAGATTAGAGCAAAATCTTTTACCAGAATATTTCTCCGAAAAAATTCAAGTGACAGACCAACCACTTCCACAACAAAAATTATTAAGTAATTAATTTTAAAAATTAAACAATAAAATTTAATCTTAAAGCCTTGCGAAATACAAAATTATTTATTTCCCATTGTGGACAGCACAGTTTGATTGAGGTAATTTTTATTTAATCGAGTCTATATCAATTATTTGGGGGTTTTACTTCCACTCAACCCGACATCGTCACTAAAGCTCCCAAACACTCAATGTCTTAAATCTAGTTGTATCTGTTATTGTCTTGTTCCGCTGTCTTTTGAGACTCATTATGTGATCTTTGATAAGATTTTCCCCTGTGGACACTTTAGTTATTAGCTCTATTCAAAAATTGCATTTTTGCAACTAGGTAACTTCCAAGTGATTTTCCTCTTCCAAATTAATATGTAAAAATGAAAATTGAAATTATTACGATAAATAACAATCGGGAGAATATTAGGGTGAAAAAATCAACCAGATCAACCCATATAGTTGATTTTTTAGGGAACCGCATCTCGACATGGGGTCTAGCATTAGCCTTTTGTAGGATAACCCCGCGCAAAAATGCCCAGCGAGGCATTTTTTGAGAAAATTGATCCGGGTTGGGGGCAAGTGTTCTGACTAATTTAAAAAAAAATTAAATTTAAAGGCAATATATGCAGGCGTTCCTCTAATTTGTATTCCAAATGGAGCTGATCAATTCTACAATTCTTCTCTTGTTGAACATTTGGGTATTGGAATATATGTAAGTCTAATCTCTATTGACCATGACGGCAATGTAACAAGGAATCCTAAATTTGCAAGAGATTTTAAAAGAGCTTTGGATGTGATGTTTAATACAGAAAAGTAAGTCCTAATAATTTTCAGAAAAATTCGGGAAAAAATTTATTTTAAGAATTTCCAAAAATTTCAGAAAAAATGACAAAAAATTTCTAATAACCAAAAAATTTGAGATTTCCTAAAAAAATTTCCAAACTATTTTTTTAGCATAATGTATGTATTTCTTCTAATATTAGACCGACCCCTTCTAATAAACCGACCCTCTAGAGGATGGTTGAAAAATAAACCGACAGGTCGGACTATTAGAAGAAATACGGTACCTAGTGAAAAATATTAAAATACAAGTAAATAAATTTTTTTAATTTCCTTACAGCAAAATATATCAAAAAATTTCAAAAGCAATATCTGTTCTAAGAAATCAAATTCTTTCATATTTCGACAATGGTTTCGTAGCTAAAAACAATTTTCTTGAAATGATTAACAAAGTTATTGGTAACTAAATTTTGGAAGAAGAAATGGATGTTGACAAATTTTTAAATTTATTTTTTTAGCAATTTTTAGTTGACATTGTTGAAATATTTTATTTAAGAGAATTTTTTGTTAAATCTTTTTAGGATAAAAATGTAGAAAATTTATTAATATGTATTTGTGTTCGGTGCATATTTTTTGAGCTGGGTTTTTTTCGATTCGGTTCGTTTTCGAACTTTTCGGGCTGAAAAGCCTCGGCTCGCTCGATCTTTCGAGTTTCGGGATGAGCGAGCTGAAAACTCTAATAATACTCAAAATTATTTAAAGTTCTTACCAAACTTCGTACCAATGTAAAGCATATAGCTATTAATTTCCTAAGGCTGAGCAGTAGGCGGCGTGGTGTAACGCTAACACATCAGTTCGGTCTACTGAAGATTCTGGTTCGCTCCCAGCCGCCGAATAACCTTTTGCACTAGCTAAAGGAGAGAAATAGCTATAGCCCAGCTGCCTTACTCTAATACCAGGGATGGGTCGGGTTGAGAAAAAAGTATGACGGATTTCGGATCGGGTTTCGGATGGCTCGACCCATCCCTGACTCATACCTTTGTACGAAGTACAAGCACAATCAAAAAATCTTTCGGTATCGGTTAAAATCCCTCTTTTATCATCGAATGACAAATTCAATTATCATTTTTTATACCCTTATCATTAGGAATCCTAAATAGCCTAACAAAGCAAACAAAGACATTGTCAGGAACATTTAATTAAACTTTTTGATATTAGGCAAATAATTTCGCAAGTTAAAAATAAATTTAATAACCATTTTCCCAAAAAACTTTTTTATCCAAAATTAAATAATTTAAATAAATCCCTCAAAATAAATCCCAAATATCCATAAAATTGGACGAATTTGTTTAAATCGAATAAAATATTTTAAAAATACACAGAGTTGCCGTCATATATGAATTTCTTTTAAATTTCTTTTCACGAAAATTAAGGTCCTAATTGGAAAATTTATTTTTAACTATATTAATAATAAATAAAAATTATATCATTTACTATCAATTAATCCCCAAGATATTATTTTAGATGTGAGACGGCAACTTTGTTATCAAAATAAATGTTTAAATATAATTTTAAAAACTTCCCAATTTGAATAAATCCCACAAAATAAATCAGTTAAATTTAAAAAATCTTTTAAAACCCAATAATTGCCAACAATCTTCTTCATCATCAGAGACATCCATTTTTAAAACCACCTATCCTTTTTTAAAAAATCCCCAAAAATCCCAACAATCTCTTCTTCATCACACAATCATTCCCCAATATATTCTTCAATCTTTCCAATAAAAATGTTTTTTATCCATGGATTGTCGTTGTCGTGGAAATCATCCAGTACTTTAGTTCTCAATTGGTTTACAGCTTCTTGATAAACATTTTGGTTAATACTGCTAAAATGGATATTTTTATTTATTTTAAATATTCAATTTATTATTTGTTTTTACCGTTCCCCAATTATATCTTCAAGAGCTTTTCCAAGTTGTTCACCAAACTCTTCCAGAGATTCAGTATCATTTCCTAAATTGTCTGCTTTGACATAAACGCCAATATTTAGGTGTTCAACGAGGGAGGAAAGGTAGTGTTGATCACCTCCAATTGGAATACAAATCAAAGGAACACCGGCATAGACTGACTGAAATATTAATTTAAATATATATAATTACTTCATTCGTTCTATTCTTCAATAAATTAATTTTTTAATAAAACTTCTTCACTATTTAACCATTTGACTTTGATAAGAAAAGTCAGTTCTTGAACTACACATAATCTTGAACTACATACATATAAGTAAACTAGTTTAATTGCTTAATCCCTGCTAAGCATACCATACCAGCTCTTCTGATCTTTTAACTTGCCCATATCGGCCACTTTCCTTTCTCTTCTCTTTGGCTGTCTAGAAGATGTGCTTGCCCATTTTGGCCAAGCACATCTTCTCGTTGATACCCCTTTGTGCTATCAACAACTCTTTGTGCCCGCTCGCGCACAAATAGTTCTTACTCTTCAATCGGGACTGACTATGGTCAGTCTGCCCCGAACATTCCAATTTATCATCAAACCCTCCAACCATATTAATCGCACTTATTCTACTTATATTATATTTAATATTACCTCAGTCAAGCTGTTCACTCCACAATGGGAAATAAATAATTTTGTGTTTTGTTTAGCTGGAAAATAAATAAATAAAATTTAGACTCATATAGTAATTACCCAATATTTCTTGTTGATTAACAAATCCTTCAAAAGATATATTTGTTCCAATATATGCTCCTTTTAAATAATGATCTTCCCCCAATCTGACCATAAAATTACATTGTCCATAATTTGTAAAAGTGTCAAGCATCTTTTCAAGATTATAATGACCCATCCCTTCAATGTTAATCATCCCAAAGGAGACATAGACAACACAATTAGCCTTTAAAAATTATATATAAGAAACAAATTATGGTGAGACTTTTATGAACTTCAAAGTACTATACTTGTGGCATAAGATAAATTTATGTGTCAACTCGACGAGCTCATTCGAATGAGCTTTTGCCTCTATG